TTCAGGTTTTTCTTTCAGTTTTCCCTTGATGGTCTGTGGCTTGCGATTCTTCCCTCCACCAGTGGCCCCTTCCCTCCACTTCCCTGCGTTTGAAGTCCCAGCTGCCATGTCAGCCTTGTGTTATGATTGCACACTGACTATCTCTGCTTGTGTCCCTTGGAGGTGGAGGGAGGGGCGTGTGGGTCAACACCGACACTCCCCCACGCCCCTCCCCTGTGTCCGTGCAGGTACCCACGGGGATGGGAAGGCGGCAGCACTGCAGCAGCTTGCAGTTGGTGCCACGAGGGAGAGTATTGGGGTGGGCTGGCCTCTTACGGTGCGTTACCTCCCTCCTTGGAGTGCATTTGTTGCTGCAGTTCTCTCTGCGTTTCGGCCTTCTTGTCTTTGTCAGCTTATGCGTTTCTGTGTTGACTTTAGTGTTTCTGTTCACGTCACATCACTAACCTCCTGCCCTTTCTCTCCTGTCCCCCTCCCCCTTCTCTGCCCGCCACCAGGTCACTTGGCATCAAGAGAAGAGTGCAGCAGAGGAAGCAGAGTAGCAGACCAGCAGCAGCAGTTTCAGCAGCAGAAGCAGCAGCGCAGCAGCAGTGGGGGGGGGTGGGGGGCTGGGCAGGAGATTAGGCTAGGCATGGTGTGAGCGAGGTGTGGTAAAAGGTTTGGTATGGTACCAGGTGAGGTGTGGTGACCTGATTCCCTCCCCTCTCTTTCTCCCTCCCTTTCTCTCCTGCAGGCTGAAGGTAGGAGCACTGGAGCAAGGGCGGGAAAGTGGAGTCCACCCTCTCACTTACCTCCTCCTCTCTCCATTTTCCCTTCCCTCCCAGCAGCACCCTGCCTGGACCACAGAGGAGTCTCTCTCTCCCCTAATTCCCCCTTCTCTCTCCACTTCCCAGCAGCCTCAGCATCATGGCGCTCTGCATGGCTGTGGTAAGTACAGGTGAGGAGGCATGGAGGTGAACTGTGGGGTGGGTGGGTGGGGAGCATGGGAGCAAACAGGGAGTTCACTGCCTAAGGGGCAGCATCTCCTGGGGTTGTGTCTTGTGGTGGTGGGGTTTGGTGGGTGGAATCTGCGCGGCACGGCACTCGGTGCTCAAGTAACCGATCTGACGTGCAAGGCCTAATGGACACCGTCAGAGCCGACCGGCCGGCGGCTCTGGTTCGCGTCAGCTCTGGCTATGTCAGGGGTGGGATTTGAGTCTTGGGCTGGAAGCAATTTTCCACTACCACACCTCGCCCCACAAGGCACCGCCTCTGGGGGTGCTGTTTCCTTAAGAAAAGTGGGCTTTCTGCTGCTCCTACTGCTGGCAGGTGAAGGTGGGGATGGGCTGTGTGGGTGGGTGAGAGAGAAGGGGCCTGAAACCCCTTGAGCGGGTGAGAGAGAAGGGGACTGAATCCCCTTGGGTTGGGTGGGTGAGAGGGAAGGGGACTGAATCCCCTTGGGTTGGGTGGGTGAGAGGGAAGGGGACTGAATCCCCTTGTGTTGGGTGGGTGAGAGGGAAGGGGACTAATTTCCCTTGGTTGGGACAGGTGAGAAGGGGTGAATCCCCTTGAGTGGGATGGGTGAGAAGGAAGGGGTGAATCCCCTTGGGTGGGATGGGTGAGAAGGAAGGGGTGAATCCCCTTGGGTGGGATGGGTGAGAAGGAGTGGTGTGTCAGAGTGTGGCGTGCCATATCTCTATGTGGAATGATGTGTCATGCTTGGTTAAGCTTCAGTGCTGTCTGTTATGATTCTCATGGTGTGGTATGTTTAAGTATGCAGGTATTGCCTGGCATGCCATTGCCTGGCATGCCATTGCCTGGCATGCCATTGCCTGGCATGCCATTGTCTGACAAGGCATTGTGGTGGGTGTTGGGGGTGGGGGTGGGAGTGGGGTTGGGGAAGGGATGGGGACCTGGTGGTAATGAGGTGCCGTGTCAGGCTTTGATGTGGCCATCACGGTTTTGGAGCCTAAAGCCCAGCGACTTTGACTGACAGATGGCGGCTCTTTTGGGTGATTTGAACATGCATTGTGCAGCCACATACAAGTTCGCATAGTTGGGATGATGCAGATGGGACGAGCATTGCGACGATGATTCTTGCGTGAGATGACATGTGAATGCCAACTACCGAAATCAGTCAAGATGGATGAGTGCCTGAAGTCCTGATCCTGGAAGATGTGAATATACCCGCATCTTTGTTCCATTTCGACACATGCAGCATGCTATCGCTTCTATAATTCGTTATGCGATTGAGATGCGTCTGGTTGTACAAACTGTTATTGATGTTTTTTTAATCTACATGTACCATAGGTGCTTGTGAGTTTCTTTCATTGTATAATGATGCTCAAGTTCATGATGGGGTCTTTGCCATCAAGTAGGGATAACTAGTTCTGGACCGTGAGAGCTGCATAAAGAAGTCGCTCATAATGAATCTTTAGGGATCACCGAATCCAAGTCGGTGATAAGTGGGCTCCAACAGTTTCTTCTGTGCCGGACTGTTGACGGGGCAAACAAAGAACGCGCTTGGAGGAGGTTCTGCGTGCTCATGTGATGTCGCACCGCACCTCGTGAACGGTCGAGTTACGGGCAGTGACCAAACCTTGAAACCATACGGTATTGGCTAAGTACCACCACAACTCGACGAGCAATCCTCATGTTGCAGATTTCGTCTCTCATGCTTGGGACTTCGAAGGTTTTGTCGGTCTGTCCCATTCATCCGTGCAAGTAGAAAAGCATTTATGTTCCGACCAGACTAGACCAGACCAGGCAAGCCAAACAAGGCCAACGGCGGAGCACAATCACCAAGGAAATCAATTGGGGTAGGTATATACTGGGTGGGTATTACTGGAAAATTGTTTTTTCTACTTGTAATTATTTTCATTGAGTGGTACTTTTGATGAATTCTCACACGCGACATCCAGATGAATGTCACGTTTCATGGATACAGGCAAAAAAATTCGCCACGTGTCCGACGCGATTTCCCTGAAACATTTTGACGCAGCAGACAAAAAATAAACCCCTAGGGACACGGACACATTTCGGGAAACATCAACCCTAAACACCCTAAAATGGCCAGGTGTTTAGGGTTGACAACCTAAAATCGTTACAATTCGGAAGGAATCAACCCTAGACACGGGAACAGGCATGGTGTTTAGGGTTGATGCATCGAAAGAAGTCCGTGGTGCCCTAGAGGTTTTTGTTTTGTTACATCCTAAAAACCCAACATTTGGTTCAGTCGCACGTAAATTTTGCAGACACATGAAATCTACACAAGCATGGACACGTGGCGAAAATAATCGCCCGTAGACATAAAACGTGACAATAATCTGTGTCTCGAAAATGAGAATCAGCAGAAATTCACACCAAATGGGTACAATTTGGACTGGAAACAACATGTTTTTTAATGAAGCCCACCCAGTATGTACTTACCCAATCAATTGTGCCAGAAATGGCTTTTCCGTGGCTGGAACATTCTTGCCATGGCAGGCACCATGGCTGCCTCCTCTCCTCTTTCGCTCCCTCCCTCCCCCTCTATACACCAACCTTCATTACTACCTCCTCCTCACCGACTCACCCACCAAGCATCTCCATCAGGAACGGATTTTTCCTCCTAACCTAACCTAACCTGAACCTCCCTCCCTTACCAACAAAATTTCACACTTGCTTGCTTTTGGCTGTTGGGTGCCAGACAGTGCTGTCACTTCAATTTACGGGCTCGCTGTCATCTCCATTCACAGAACGATCTTGCTGCTCCTGAGTGAAAACGGTTCCCAAGGGCTTGGAGTTAGGGCCATTCTCTCCTAGCACTTACGTGTTTGTTCTTTAGCTTCGTTGATAGTGTGATTTCCGCATTACATTCACGAACAAGATGTCCAGGGAGCTGTTCACCCTTTCTAGCAGTTAAGACTCATCCTTTCGACCAAATCATTAGTGTCTGCTCTTCTGCGCCCTGGAAAGAAAAGCGCGACACGGTGTAGTCGCGGTGCCTAGTCCAGCCGTTTTAGGACCTTTATTTCCGTGGGTGACGTTTTCAGATTAGGTAGACACATAGCAAGCACGCGCGTCGACAGGTGTTGCATCCTCCACTCTTCGACGGCGATCGATCGTGCACCATTTTTCCATGTCGATAGTCGCAGCATGCTCATTACCCTGCTACTTGTGCTGCTGTTACTCCCATCGAATAAGCATCGTTCGGCATTGGCGACAACGGAAATGCCATTTAACTCCAAGTTCGGTAAGCCCAGGGGAACTACCTATGATAGAGACCAAGGACTTGCTGTGTGGACCATAGGGATCCTTTTTGGAAGAGCTCAGAAAGCAACACCGCTCCGTCAGCTGATTACGGTCATATAATAGTTTTGGCGACTCTCCTGTCTCGCCGGCTACCGCAACGCGCGTGCTCTTTCGCTCTCCCGCTGTGCACCATGCTCTTTCACCCTCCCGCTACACGCATGCTCTCAGGCTCTCTTTCCAGTTCCGTCATCCTCCTGCCTTTCTCTCCCCAATCGCCTTCCCTCTTCATCCCCGCCTTCCCCGCACCCAACCGTATACTTCTCCAATCCGCGCGTCCACTCGCGACCTGCCTCCTGTCAGCACATGCACATCGTTCTCGCTGCCTCGTCCTCCTTTTGCCTTAGAGGCCTCGCCAGCCGTTAGATTGTTAGTTCGAGAGGAGAGCACCAAGAGGGTTGAAGCGAACACTGTTAGCTGGGATTGTCAGCTGGGACCTGTGAAAAGGACCCTGCAGGCCGGCAGGACCGGGTTAAAGCAATCGCTTTTAGAAGCAGGTCGTTTTTTTCCGCGGCTTTCCTCCTTTGGGTTGTTGCGCTCGTCGCTCAAACTTGATGCTTTCGAGCTGGGTGTCGCGTTGCTGGTCGCGTGGCATGAAGTGCTACAGACGTACGAAAAAGTAGGCGCCTAAAAAATGCAACACACGTACGAGACCACCACGACCTTACGACCTGACGATCTTCTATCCACGCTGCTGTTTTTCGTGCCTGGCAGTGCAACCCATGTACGAGATTATGAGGGCATTCAATCTCGACCCGGAGCAGAACTGGAGTGAAGGCGCGCCGTGCTCCGACGACGGCACGGGCAGCGGCTTTAAGGGCGTCATCTGCGACTCCAACGGCAACCCTCGTGCCATGTAAGCAACGCCGACGCCCACTCGCACTTCCGCCACGTGGACGTCTCTCGTGCCACGTCGATTAACACACTTGCCACGTCCATCATGGTCATTGCCACGTCAGGCGCAGCTGCTCGTCGCGTCCGTGCCATCATTGCCTTTAGGTGAGCGACTTTCTTTCTGACGCCCCACAACCCCCTTCCGTTCCGTCTGTCCCGCCATTCCCGTTGCGCCCCACATCCCGCCATTCCCGGTCCCCCCCGCACCCCGCCATTCATGCCGTCGCGTGTGTGTCTCTGTCGCTGCCGCCTGCGCGTGACGATTCCGCTGACCCTCCGCGGACCCTCCGCGTTGGGGTGTTGCGCTCGAATCTCGCCCGCAGGATCTTCCCTATCCGATACTTCGAGTACTGCTCTCTCCCTTCCCCCTCCCCCTCCCCCCACCCCCCCTCCCCAACCCCCCCCTCCCCCCCCCTCGCATCGTCCTTGTGCTTCCCTGGCACTCTCGTTTGTCCTCTTTCACTCCCCCCTGCCCTCCCTCTCTTTTTCTACATCTTCTTTTCTCATTTCCCCTTCCCCCTCCTCCCATTGCCCCGCCACGTCTTTCTCTTTCCTTGGAAGCTTTATTCCCGCCCCTGGCTCATCCAACAAGTCCCTCTGCTCCTTGATTCCCATTCCTGCCTAAACTTTATCTCTCTCCCTCTCGTGTCCGCACCCCACCCTGTGTTCGCATACTGCGATCTCTGCTGTAATAGTTCCGCCTGTTCGCCGTCCCCCGCCCCATGCGCCATCTCCCGCCCCATGCGCCTTCCGCAGGCCCCCATGCGCCATCCGCAGCCCCCCGTGCGCCATCCCCAAGCCATTCCCAGCCCCACACCATGCGCCATCCCCACCCCGTGCGCGATCCCCATCCCGTGCGCCATCCCCACCCCGTGCGCCATCCCCCACCCCATGCGCCATCGTCTCTCTAGCACTCATTCCCCATGTCCCGTCCCTTCACCTATCCCTGTTGGCCCCTCCTCTCTTATCCTCATTCTCCCCCCTCCTCCCCTCATCCCCATCGCCTCCCTGCCTCCCCTCATCCCCATCCCTCCCTACCAGGATACCCACGCTCGGCAACTCCCTCGTGGGCCTCAGATCCCTGCCCACCGCCTTCGCCCGTCTCACCACGCTCACTAGATTGTAAGCTGCTTGATCTGTCCTCGTCCGCTTCACCTCGCCCCATCCGCTTCACCTCTCCCCATCCGCTTCACCTCGCCCCATCCGCTTCACCTCGCCCCATCCGCTTCACCTCTCCCCATCCGCTTCACCTCTCCCCATCCGCTTCACCTCTCCCCATCCGCTTCACCTCTCCCCATCCGCTTCACCTCTCCCCATCCGCTTCGTCCCTCTCCCTCCAACGCTCCTCGTGTCAAACGGAACTTGGGTTGGAGCGTGCCTCCCCTCGATCCCTCCCTGCTGTCAACCGTGCTTGTATGGCGTGTTACGCACTGGCACACTATGCTCCCCTCTTCCTGTATGGTTCTGCTTGTTTCCCACTCGTCCTGCTGCTCTCCACACTTCCTCCTTGCCTCCTTGCCTTGCTTCTCGGCCCTTATCTGACTGCGGGTCCTCTATCCCTCACGTTCCCTTCCTTCTTCATCCTCCCTCTCCTCTCCCAACTTCCCCCTTCCCCCCCTTCCCCTCCCATATTGGTGGTGACGGCATGGTGTTGCGTGCACCCACCAGAGTGCTGATCATGGGCCTTATTAACACCAGATTAGATGACTTCGCCAGACCACTCTCTTGCCTGCCTAACCTAAGACACTTGTAAGTCGCGCCTCCCCTGCCTCCCTTTATGTGACTTTCTCTCATGCCTTTTCCTGTCAGATTCGCCCTTCTCTGGCATCTGTTTGTGTGGTCATTTCCTTCTTATCCATCGCATTGCCTTGTTGACCTCACATGCCACCATCCATCATCATCATGTCTCAATACCATGCTCATCATGCCTTACCACCATCATCATGCCTTTTCACCGTCACCCCTCCCCTGTCTGCAGAGTGTTGGATGGGAACTCCTTTTACGGGCCCGTCCCACCTTACCTCATTAACTCACCCACTCTAACTGACCTGTAAGTGCCTTTCCTCCCTCTGCCTTGCTTCCTGCCCCTCCTCTTCTCCCCGTCCCCCTTTTTGTCTCAATTTAACCACCCGCGCCCCTTCCCTCTTTTCTCGAGCCAGTCCCCATCCGTCTGCCTGCATTCCAAGCATGCTGAGGGCCTCTGTGTATCAGAGACTGGAGAACCGCTTTTCCTGCCTTAGCACCCACCAAACCCTCCGCTGCTTCTTGCTTCCCTCACCTCCCCCTTTACCATGTTGGTCCCACACCTCTCTCTTTCCCTTTTCAATCCCTTTCCCTTTCTTCGCTGCATCCTTATCCTCTTCTACCCACCCCAACCCCCCTCCACCCTTTTTCTCCCTTCCCTTGCCTCCCCCCCCTCCCTCCCTCTCCCCTTCCTTTCCTTCCGCTCCTTTCCCACCCTCCAGGTCGTTACAGGGCAACAAGCTAACGGGCACAATAAGGGCCATGCGTCCCAACCTCACAGCGCTCTCAACTTCCTCACCGCCCCCCTCTCGCCCGCCTCCCGCGTGCAACACCAGGCTTTTGAGTTGACTAAAAGAAACCCAACCCCCCATTCTTGTTGTATCCTTATCTCCCTCCCCCCCCCCCCCCCCCCCCCCTTCCCCTCTCCGCCCTCCACTTCCTTTAACAACCCCCTTCCCCCTCCAGCTCATTACAGGGCAACAAGCTAACAGGCACAATAAGGAAAATCGGACCCAAGCTCACAGCGCTCTTCCTCTCAGTCAACTTCCTCACCGGCCCCCTCCCACCCGCCGCCCGCCGCCTGCGCGTCTGCAACGCCGCCATGAACTGCCTCTCCCGCACCTCCGGCTGTAACGGGGTAACCGGGTTTCCGCGCCGCCAGCGCACCATCGGGTGCCGGCGGAACCCCTGTGCCAAGCGGAAGTTGCTCAACTCGTTCCAGTGCAAGTGGGCTAAGTCGTGTATCCCTCAATATGGAGATTGGCCACCGTGGGAGGTGGATGCGCTCTCAAACCCGCCGGATAAAGGCTGGAAATGCAACTCCTGCCCCACGGGGACTTACGCGACGAGAAGAAGATGCGGTGAGTGTTGGAGCATAGGCATGGGCTGTTTAACGCTTCTTGGTCTCTTCATCGCTCCCTTCCGTGGTCTCTTCATCGCTCCCTCCCCCACTGTCTCCTCTCCTCTCCCCGTCTCCTCCCCTCTCTCGCTCTCCCCTCTCCCTTCTTCCCCCACTCTCCTCTCCCCTTCTTGCCCCCTCGTCGGCCTTCGCTTGCTGTAATTTCTGGCTTTATCTGCAGCTCGTACCTTTCCATGTTTTCTTTCTCATTCACTTGCTGATGTCTTCTCTACATGTGGCTGCTCTTTTTCTGTGGGTCTGTGTGTGGCCTTATTGGGTTGCAGTTCCGTGCTCCAAACCATTTCTGACAACATTTTGTAAAAAACGACATAGGTTTAAATGCCCAAAGTAGGCTGTAGCTTGGCCTGATAGAGTAGATGTAGCTTGTTAGGCGTTTTGGCCCTTCACGAAATAGGGCAGTGTTTTCCACATGGTATATCAAGGCTCATTGAAGAGTGCGCAGAGTGTACAGAGCACATGCATCTTGTATAGAAGCATCCTTTCATGCCACACCACACGTTCTTTCATGCCAGTGGCACTCAAAGCGGGCTTGCGGGCTTGAGAACGCATGCCGTTCATACTACTGGAAGTGAATATCCAGACTCCTAGCAGTAAATCTGGAAGATCAGGACATCTATAATATCTTTGTGTGCAACTAAACCATAGTACCGCTGTAGTTTTCTGTCAAACAACTCCTATATTTTTCCTCCACGTATGTGAGGCATTCTTTATCGCGTTTTAAAAAATTGCCCATCCCCCAACTCTCCCCCATCCTCCCTGAACCCGCACTAGTCACGTTGACGCGGTGCCGCATTACTGCCTTGCACTGTCGCTCGCACAGTCGCACAGTCGCACCGCTGCCACCGCGCGACGGATCCAATGTCGCAGCTCACCTCAGCAGCAGCGCTAGTCGCCCGCCCGCTTCCTCCTTCCTCCACCGTTCTTCACCCTCCAGCATTCGCGCAACGCCCAGCCGCCCTTCTCCCACGGCGGAAGCATGCATCGCCCAATCACGCGCCTCTTAAACTGCGCGCACCGCTCGTGCTAAGAGCTTCCGCAACCTCCTCGCAGCGCGAGCCGCCAGAGGGCAGCGACTCGCGGCCGCCGCCGCCGCCGCCGCCAATGAAAGTGATGAGCCGATCCGCGAAGAACGTCCGGCGCATGATGTCCGCCGCGTCCCCGCCCGCCCTCGGGCAGTTCCGCCCGCCCCCGCTTCCCAGTGAGCTCCGCCTCCGCCCTCCCCTTCCGCCCTCCCCCCCTTCACCAAACCTTTCCCCTCTTATTTCATCCCGGGTCTGCCCGTGTAATCGCCTCTCCGCGCATTCCCACTCCCCGCCCGCCCCTGAGGGTCAGGCGCGCCAAAGGCGTCTGTTGCGCCTCACCCGTTCCCCCGCGGTCGCTCCCTTCCGCTCCCTCTTTTCCCCCCCCATTCCCGCAGTCCCAGGCGCGCCAATGTTCCCCATGGGAGCAGCGGGGGGAGGGGATTCGGGGGAAGCGGAGGAGGGGAGGCGGAAGGAGAGGGAGCGGAGGGAGGAGCTGATAGCGGCGGTGAGAGAGGGGCGTGGCTCCTGGCAGGAGGTTGCTGCTGCTATCAGGTGAAATCGCTGATGTCGTCAGGTTGGATTCTTGATGCCTTCAGGTGAGATTGTGTGAGCTTCAGGCTAAGCTGCTAATACCTTCAGTTGAAATTGCTGTTGCTTTTGCGAGGCTACCCGTAACTTCAGGTTCTGTACCCTGCAACTTGTTTCTTCTAAGTTCCTGGATCTGCATCGTTTTCCCCTCCCCTATCTCTCCACCATTCCGCCCATGTCCCCTCCTACACCGCCCTGGCATGGCATGGCATGGGAGGCAGCTGCGGCAGGCGGGCATGACAGCAGAGGAAGTGGCAGATATGGCGCTTCTTGCGCATGCTTTGAGGCGCCTCAGAAAATGGCTCTGCTTTCCTTTCATCCCTCCAATTCCCTTGCTTTCCCCCCCTCTCCCTTCCCACAGGCAGCTGCAGCAGGCGGGCATGACAGCAGAGGAGGTGGCGGATGTGGCGATGCTGCCGCTTGTTGTGAGGCGCCTCAGAAATAGGCCCTTCTTTTCTTTCATCTCTCCCATTCTCTCCCGTTCCCTCCCCTTCCTCCCCCTTCCCTCCTCCTCCCTCCCCCTCCCTCCGTGCAGGCAGCTACAGCAGGCGGGCATGACAGCAGAGGAGGTGGCGGATGTGGCGATGCTGGCGCATGCTTGATGCGCCTCAGAGATAGGCAATGCTTCCCTTTCCCTTGCCCCCCCTTGTCCCTCCCCACAGGCAGCTACAGCAGGCGGGCATGACGGCAGAGGAGGTGGCGGATGTGGCGATGCTGGCGCATGGCCGAGTGACCGTGCTTGTCGTTGCTGCTCAGGTGATGTGCTCTCCCTCCCTTCCCCATGTGCCATGACCTGTGCCCCCTTCCCTATGCTATGTCCCCTTCCCTATGCTATGCCCCCTTCCCTATGCTAGCCCATGTGCCATAGCCCATGTACCATAGCCCATGTACCATAGCCCATGTACCATAGCCCATGTACCATAGCCCATGTACCATAGCCCATGTACCATAGCCCATGTACCATAGCCCATGTACCATAGCCCATGTACCATAGCCATGTGCCATAGCCCATGTGCCATAGCCCATGTACCATAGCCCATGTACCATAGCCCATGTACCATAGCCCATGTACCATTGCCCATGTACCATAGCCCATGTACCATAGCCCATGTGCCATAGCCCATGTACCATAGCCCATGTACCATACCCCATGTACCATAGCCCATGTACCATAGCCCATGTACCATAGCCCATGTGCCATAGCCCATGTGCCATACCCCATGTACCATAGCCCATGTACCATACCCCATGTGCCATACCCCATGTACCATAGCCCATGTACCATACCCCATGTGCCATAGCCCATGTACCATAGCCCATGTACCATAGCCCATGTGCCATACCCCATGTACCATAGCCCATGTACCATAGCCCATGTACCATAGCCCATGTACATGCCCCGTTCCCCATGCCCCACCCCCTCATTCCGCTCCTCCTCGTGCTGCTGCTGCTGGGTGCTGCTGGGTGCTGCTGGGTGCTGCTGGGTGCTGCTGGGTGCTGCTGGGTGCTGCTGGGTGCTGCTGGGTGCTGCTGAGTGCTGCTGGGTGCTGCTGGGTGCTGCTGGGTGCTGCTGGGTGCTGCTGGGTGCTGCTGGGTGCTGCTGGGTGCTGCTGGGTGCTGCTGCTGCTACGGCAGGTGTACGAGTCGCTGCTGCCAGGCCCACAGGAGGCGGAGGGAGAGGGGCCCGACAGCGGCTTTGACGTGGTGGGAGCGTTCCAATCAGAGCAGAGCTCAGAGATGCTCTATGAGCTGCGCACCCTGCCCACGGCCGGCCGACGGGTAGGTGCTGCTGGGGGCGCTGGGGGGTTGATGGGGCCGGTTGGGGTGGTTGGTCTGCTGGGGGTGGTGAAATGTGCTGTGGCTCGTGGGGGATGTTGGCGTTTCAGGCAGAGCAGAGTGCGAAGCTGCTCTATGAGCTGCGCACCCTGCCAACAGCCGGCCGACGGGTAGGTGCTGCTGGGTTGGGAGTGGTGCGGATGGTGGCTGGGCTGGTAGGGCTGGTGGGGCTGGTAGGGCTGGTGGCGCTGGTGGCGCTGGTGGCGCTGGTGGCGCTGGTGGCGCTGGTGGCGCTGGTGGGGCTGGGCTGGTGTTGGCGTTCCAATCAGAGCAGAGGGCTTAGCTTCTCTATGAGCTGCGCACCCTGCCCACGGCTGGCCGACGGGTGCGTGCTGCTGGGGTAGTGGGGGGGTCTGTGAGGGTGGTGGTGGGGGTGGTGGGGTTCGTATGGGAGGTGGTGCCTAAATCTCCATGTTGCTTCGTGCCTCATTCTCTCCCTCCCACCACACTCCTCCCACCACCATCCCCCCTTCCGGTTGCAGCAAGCAGCGGCGTATGTGGCGCAGCAAGGGCTGGATGCAGGGGAAGTGACAGAGTTGGTGCGGGCCATGAGGGACCATGCGAGGCGATCCAACTCCAGAGAGGTGAGGGGAGAGAGGAGAGGGCAGAGAGGTGAGGGCGGTCAGGTGAGATGTGTTCGGCACGAGGGACACTGGTAGGTTATTTCAGGAGGGCTTTGCTCAACAGCTGTCATGTGGTTTCGTGGTGTAGTTGGTTATCACGTCAGTCTAACACACTGAAGGTCTCCGGTTCAAGTCCGGGCGAAGCCACTTTTTAGTCAGACTTGTGTCCTCATTTCTAATCATCCGCCTCCTTTGCACCAGCTCAGGCTTTGCTTCAGACCCTTTCCTTTTCACATCAACGCCTTCTTTTCCATGCGTCACTTCCACCACTCATCCCTCACACTCACCCCGCCTTTCCTCCTCTCATCTGCTGCACGGCTTCTCATCAGCACCTGGGGACTGTCTGGCATTCGCGTGCTTCCACTTCGCCTGTGTTCCCCACACTCACCCCTCACACCCACCCTTCACAACCACCCCTCACTCTCACCCCGTCTCCCCCCCTCCCTTCCACTGCAGGGCTTCTCATCAGCGCCTGGGGACTACCTGGCGTTCATGTGCTTCCGCCTTGCCCCCCTCATACTCACCCATCGTATTCACCCCTCACACCCATTCCTTCTCCCCTGCTCCCTTCCACTGCAGGGCTTCTCCTCAGCACCGGGGGACTGCCTGGCGTTCATGTGCTTCCGAGCAGCAGGGGAGACCAGCGGGGAGGAGCGGCGGGAGTGGGTGGAAAAGGGTTTGGCAGCTGCAGAGAGTGAGAGCGCACGGGCACGACTGCGAGAGCTGTAGTAGCAGCAAGGCTTGGTGGGGAGAGCAGTGTGGGTGGAGCGGCAGGGGTGGGTAGAGAGGGGCGTAGCAGCTGCAGAGAGTGAGAGTGCACGACTGCAAGCTGTAGTAGCAGCACTGGTGGGCGTTTATGTGTAGGAGGTAGACTGAAACTAAATGCATTTCACAGTCGGGGTGGTAGCAATCACGTCACGTTTGCCAGCTTCTGAACACTGGTGCAGAGCAACCAGGGGAAGAGGAGACGGGTGTGGGTGGAGAGGGGCATGGCAGCTGCTGTGAGTGAGAGCGCACGGGCAAGACTGCCAGAGCTGTAGTAGCAGCAAGGCTTGGCATTGATGTGGGGTGGTAACGGGCACGCTCGTGTGCTTCCAAGCATCAAGGGGGAGCGGCAGGCATGGGTAGTGAAGTGAGAGGCGTTGCAGCTGCGGTGAGTGAGAGCAGACGGGCAAGACTGCGAGAGCTGTAGTAGCAGCAAGGCTTGAGGGGAGAGGAGGAAGGGGGGGGGAGCGGAGGGATGAAGACCGATGCCGCCTCTCCCCCCTGTTCGTTTCCATTCTTGTTGATTCCATCAATTCAGGAAACTGCGTCCCACAGGTCTTTCTCTTGGAGTATCTCTTTCCTCGCCACTGTAGCATATTTGACACAGCGGACTTTACAGCAACTAGGTACCATGCATTATTTTTACTGCTTGGTGAATGAAACACCATCTTATTCCCATTAGTATATGCGCCTGAAACAGCCTTACATAGGGGGCAAGCACACATGGTAGGCAGGCATACCCCACATCGACTGTTACTGACAGAGTCACAAGTTCTTCCCATGCTGCATCACAGATCGATAGTAGATGCTTTCTTGCCATGTGCCTCACGGCTTGAAAGTGGGTGCATGTCTCTCGCCCCCCCACGTGGCTTCATACAGTAGCCTCGCCCCGAGATCAGCATACGGGTCCTCCTGTCTCTTCCTCAGCAAGTACTCTATCCCGCTCTCCACCTCCCCCTTCACGTGTGCGTACAGCGCCGCTGCTGCCTGCTGGTCTGTCAACACCTCCCGCATGCCTGGGTGGAGTGGAAGAAGGGACGAGGGGAGAGAGGAGAGGGGCAGTGGTAAGGGTGCGAGGAGAGATGCAGGTACTCTATCCCGCTCTCCACCTCGCCCTTCACATGTGCGTACAGCGCTGCTGCTGCCTGCTGGTCTGTCAACACCTCCCGCATGCCTGGTGGGAGCAGGGGAGGAGGAGAGGGGAAGAGGGGAGCGAGGGGAAGGGAGAAGTGAGAGGAACGGAGAGGAGGAGGGAGAAGTAGCACGCTTTACTCGGCGGCACCACCGGCGCCAGAAAGCACATCGAGGCGCGATGGATGGCAGCGAGATGAGAGCCATACCGGCAGTGCGGGTGGCCGCGCCAAACTTGATTCGGTTGATTTTCTTGGGCAGCACCACCACTGGCGCCAGAGCAGAAAGAGCATAGATGTGAGTTTGAGCAAGAGAGCGAGAGGATGGTGGTGAGAGGCGTACCGGCAGTGCGGATGGGGGCGCCAAACTTGATGTACATCCGGTTGATCTTCTTGGGCAGCACCACTGGCGCCAGGAATCGCTCTGCTGCTGGCCCTGCTATTTCGTCCTCCCTGGGTGGGGCCGAGAGTAGAGGGGTGGGAGAGAAGCGCGGGAGGAGAGCAACACGAGAGATGGCTTAAACGGGTAGGGGCATGCCAGTCAAAGGCGGTTGATCTTCTTGGGCAGCATTATTGGCGCCAAGAACCGCTCCACTGCTGGCCCCGCTATTTCGTCCTCCCTGGAGGGGTTGAGAGGAGAGGGGTGGGTGAGAGGTGTGGGGGGGAGAAGTGGGAGGGAGGTGAAACGAGAGTGGGAGAAGAGCAACACAAGAAGATGGATTGGACGAGTAGGGGCATAGTCCATAAGCTATTGACTCATAAGGCACTGCCATGACTTCGGGCACAAAGTCCATGAACTCGTTCACCTTCTCCCCGTACACCGGTTAAGTGAGTTTGTTGTTTGTGAGCTCCCTCAGAGCTAACCTGACTCGAGGCACACTCTCTGTGAACTCTTGACCTGCCTCAAGACTTACCTGACTTTGGGCACATAGTCCATGAACTCCTTCATTTTCTCCCCGTACACTGGGAAAGCGAGTTTTTTTTTTTGGTCGGAATGTCTCAAATCTGATATGATGCAAGGCTGACAGTCGATCGACTGTCATTATGAACTCTTGAGCTTCCTCAGCACACACGCGCACCTGACTTTGGGCACATAGTCCATGAACTCCTTCATCCTCTCCCCGTACACCGGCACGTTGGGTAGCTCATCTGCGTCCAACACAAACTGATGGGGATGGGGGTGATGGGGGTGATGGGGGTGATGGGGGTGATGGGGGTGATGGGGGTGATGGGGGTGATGGGGGTGATGGGGGTGATGGGGTTGATGGGGGTGATGGGGGTGGTGATGGGGGTGATGGGGGTGATGGGGGTGATGGGGTGATGTGGATGATGGGGGTGATGGGGGTGATGGGGTGATGTGGATGATGGGGGTGATGGGGGTGATGGGGGTGATGGGGGTGATGGGGGTGATGGGGGTGATGGGCGTGATGGGGGTGATGGGGGTGATGGAGGTGATGGGGGTGATGGGGGTGATGGGGGTGATGGGGGTGATGGGGGTGATGGGGGTGATGGGGGTGATGGAGGTGATGGGGGTGATGGAGGTGATGGGGGTGATGGGGGTGATGGGGGTGATGGGGGTGATGGGGGTGATGGGGGGTGATGGGGGTGACGGGCGTGATGGACAAAGGCACTTGGAGACACTGTGAGGTATCGCACATGCATGGTTGGGCAGCTCGTGTGCATCCAGCACAAACTGATGGGGATGGTGGGGATGACGTGATGTGGGAGATGGAGGAAGGTAGGAGGAGTCAGGGGGAACTCTGAGGTATCGTACATGCATGCCTGGGCAGCTCGTGTGCATCCAGCACAAACTGATGGGGATGGTGGGGATGACGTGATGTGGGAGATGGACGAAGGTAGGAGGAGTCAGGGGGAACTGTGAGGTATCGTACATGCATGCTTGGGCAGCTCGTGTGCATCCAGCACAAACTGATGGGGATGGTGATGCGATGGAAGGAGATGGAAGAAGGGGAGAGGGGGGATGGGTGTCATGCAAAGAATGCAGGTGTATTTTGAGGCGAGTCAAAGCACGCTCGTGGCTTGGCTGTGGAACTGCATGGCATGCTGAGTGTGTCACGCACACACGTAGTGCACCGGTGGCATTCACGTGACAGCAGATAAACTGACGGTGTAGATCTGTTACTCACATTGTAAGCATCATCCACGCCCACCGATGCAAAGGGGATGATCACCGCTCCAAACTTGACCTGCACAGACAGCATGTGACACACAATCCACATGCGGACATGACACATGAGCGCACATGGCACACATGGCACACAAAACACTTGGTACGGCAACAAATGCCTCTCCGCCACTCGTACAAACTCGCACGTCCGAGACATCTCAAGAAACAATGGTGAGACATAGGTATGAGAAAGCATTACTTTCGAGACTCGGCTCAAAACTCGGGTCAACAGCACGGAGCAATCGCAGCATGGTGACTCACCGCCATGCGCACGAACTCAGCACGGTGAGGCCAGAAAAGCTTGTACTCCTCGCCCTGGGGTGTGGCGTGGTGTGGTGTGGTGTGGTGTGGTGTGGAACGGGATGGCAAAGCATGGCACATTATGACACTGGACGAAAACCCTTGGAATTCGGCAGTGAAACACGCATGCCTTGCAGCACGGGCAGAGAAAGGTGAAGATTTTCCCCCACCGCCACTCCCTCTCTCCAACCCCACTCCCTCTCTCCACTGCAGCTCACCTGCTTCCCCAGCACCTCCCGAATGCCCTGCCCCCTGGGAAGAGCTGAGCGGCCTGGTGGGTGGCCAGCAGGCCGTGTGCTTACAAGCAGAGTCAGCCCTCCGAGCTACCCCACCATCCCAGCAACCACCGCCACTCACCCGCTTCCTCAGAGCCTCTCGCATGCCTCCCGGGAACAGCAGTGCTGCTTGGTCAGTGGCCATCAGGCGGTGCAGCACCTTGGGCGTCACCTCTTACAGTTTCCTTAGTGCACTCACCCGCTTCCTGAGTGCCTCCCGCATGCCTCCCGGGAACAGCAGCGCCGCCTGGTCTGTTGCTAGCAGGCGGTGCAGCACCTTGGGCGTCACCGGCACGGCTCCAAAGAGGCGGAACTCCTCCGCCATGGGGTTGTGCTCTATGGCGCCTGGGAACTGGAGAGGTAAAGGGGGGAGAGGATGGAGCGAGAGGAGAAGGAGGGAACAAGGGCACGTGTATGGGTGTGGGAAGGGGACCGAGGGGAAGAAGCACCAGCACGGCGCCGAAGAGACGGAACTCCTCCGCCATGGGGTTGTGCTCTATGGCGCCGGGGAACTGGAGGGGGGGCGTGGGGAAAGCAAAGAACAGATGGAGCGTGAATGGGTGTATGAAATTGGGAGAGGGGGGCTGGGGGGAAGAGTCACCGGCACGGGACCAAAGAGGCGGAACTCCTCCGCCATGGGGTTGTGCTCTTTGGACCCGGGGAACTGGAGAGGTAAAGGGGGGAGAGGAGGGAGCGAGGGGAGAAGGAGGGAACAAGGGCACGTGTATGGGTGTGGGAAGGGGACCGAGGGGAAGAAGCACCAGCACGGCGCCGAAGAGACGTAACTCCTCCGCCATGGGGTTGTGCTCTATGGCGCCGGGGAACTGGGAGGTAGCACAGAAGAGGGGGGGGGGGGTTATAAGGGGGAATTATGGGTGGAGGGGGGGGCTGGGGGAAGAAGCACCGGCACGGCACTGAAGAGACGAAACTCCTCCGCCATGGGGTTGTGCTCTATGGCGCCTGGGAACTGGGCGGGGCGGTATGGGAGTGGGGGAGGAGGAGAGGAAGGGACCAGTGGTGGGCGGGAGAGAGGAAAGGGCAGTCTGTGTGGGAGCAGGTCAAGAATCTGGGAGGAGAGGTCTGCTGTGCATGCCTGATGGTTGCCCACCAACAGCAACAGATTGCTACAGGTGCAATAGCATTACCCACCAGCATTACTCATCGGGTTGAAGGCACCCCACTCACCATGCCAAGGGCGACGGGGTGAGTGAGGCCCCTGAGGGGCACTCCATGTGCGAGCAGCTCAGCAATCAATGGAGAGAGGTCCGGCGCGTATGTCTGGTGGTTTCCCACGAAGAGCAGCGGGCGCTCGTCCACTGGTATGCCCTCTAGACCCAGCACGATGTGCGCAGAGGAGGAGGAGGAAGAGGAAGAGGAGGATGGGGAGGAGGTGGAGGAGGAGGAGGAACGGAAGGAGGAGGAAGGGAGGGAGGAGTTCCCGAGGACTCTGTGTAGGTCGGTGGTGTCACGTTCATCGTCCACCACAGTGGACAGGAACACAGGCGAGCACATGAGGCGAATCGTGCCGTCCATGCCGCCCTTGCTGCGCGCAAACTCCTCCACGGTGGGCAGCACGAAGCCGTCCACTTGTGGGTCCTCCCGCCTGCTGCTGCTGCGCCTGTACACGCCCGCGCCCTTGATGATGCTCGCTAGGTCAACGTCTGCCTCCTGGAGTTGGGGTAAGAAGAGGGAGGGAGGGAGGGAGGGAGGGAGAGGGGAGTGGCAGGTGGCTGGCAGCACGAAGCCGTCCGCTTCGGAGTCTGCTTTTGAGTTGACTTAAAAGCCGTCCACTTGTGGGTCCTCCCGCCGGCTGCTGCTCCGCCTGTACACACCCGCCCCCTTGATGATGCTCGCTAGGTCTATGTCTGCCTCCTGGCGGTGTGAGGGGCCGAAGGGAGGGAGGAAGGACAGAAGGAAGGCAGGATTGCAATGGGGGAGAGCGGCAGGTGGGTCCTCCCGCCGGCTGCTGCTGCGCCTGTACACGCCCGATCCCTTGATGATGCTCGCCAGGTCTATGTCTGCCTCCTGGTGGTGTGAGGGGCCGAAGGGAGGGAGGAAGGACAGAAGGAAGGCAGGATTGCAATGGGGGAGAGCGGCAGGTGGGTCCTCCCGCCTGCTGCTGCTCCGCCTGTACACTCCCGCTCCCTTGATGATGCTTGCTAGATCAATGTCTGCTTCCTGTAGGGGGGGAGAGGGAGGGTGGGGGGTTGGGGGGAGGGGGGGATTGTGAGAAACGAGTAAGTGGGCAGGAGAGTAGCACACAACTGCTGCTGCTCCGTCTGTACACGCCCGTGCCCTTGATGATGCTCGCCAGGTCTATGTCTGCTTCCTGGCAGGGGTGAGGGGTGGATGGGGTTGTGGGGGAAGGGGGGGTTGCGAGGGAAGAAGAAGCCGTCCACTTGTGGGTCCTCCCGCCTGCTGTTGCTCCGCCTGTACACGCCCGCTCCCTTGATGATGCTCGCTAGGTCTATGTCTGCTTCCTGCAAGGTGGGGGAATGGGGGAAGAGGGTGGGGGTGAAGGAAGAGAAGAGTAAGTGGGCAGGAGAGTATCTTTAGAAGATACTTGCTAGATCAACGCCACATCTAACCGTGCCCTTTTGTGCCCTTCACGTCCCACCACACTCACCAGCAGAACCCATCGCACTCACCAGCAGCAGCGTGTGCCCCGAGTTGGGGCACTGCTTTACAACTGTGGTGCATGCACCCATCTCCTTGTGCAGCCGCTTCGCCTCCTCCTCACTCGGCAGCATCTGGTCCTCACCACTGGTGGTGGGTAGACAGAACAAGCAGGTGAAAAGAGAGAGCGGGAGATGGGTGAGGAGGGCAGAAGAGTTAGATATGCGTGCTTCACGGCTGTTTCACCTCCTCACTCGGCAGCATGTGGTCCTCACGCTGTGCTGGGCAGGCAGAAGGGTTCAAGTCAAGTGAGAGGCAGGGAGGAGGTGCAGAGAGGTGGAAGGGTGACAGACGGAGTGAGCTTACGGCAGACGGTGAGGCACACTGTGCAATGTGCACGGAGTGAGCTTGAGGGGGCGCCCCTCCGATTGAGAGGAAGTGGCGCTGGTGCATCCACACTGCGCAGTGAGTGAGGCACACTGCTTGTTGACCCCACTCACGTGGCATCCTTGCAAAATGGTTGTTCTGCAGTTAAACCTCCACTCACCCGGCTCCAGGGTATCACTTCTTTGAGAAGGAGGAGGTATGTGCTTTGGTTGCATTGGATATGATATACGCCCGCTTACCCGGCAACGATGAGCGTGGTGTGCTTGATGCCTTTCAGCACCGGCTCCACAGCAGCACTGCCCTCCTCCAGCAGATCCAGCTTCCACTCGAGCGTGGCCTGGGGGAGAATGTCCGCCACGAGCTGCAAGGAAGCACAAAGGATAGAGGTGGTGTGGAATGGGATTACGGGAGAAAGAATGCACGCTGGGCGCATGGAAAGGGCTAAGGGAGTGGGTGGCGTGGCACGCATTGCCCTCCTCCAGCAGCTCCAGCTTCCACTCGAGGGTCGACTGGGGGAGAATGTCCGCTACAAGCTGGAAGGAAGCACGAGGGGTGGGGGTGGTGCGAGAAGAGAACTTGGAAGGTGTTTGCTGGCAGCGGGACAAGCAGTGCATCTCTATGAGGCACTTCAAGGAAGGAACCACCAACAGATTGCTGTGCACAGCATGCTGAGTCATCACATCTCACAGAGCAGCATGGGCAGGGCAGCATGTTCAGGAGCACCACATACCAGGTGCGGAACGGTGCAGCATGGGACGAGAGGGAAATGATAGAATCTCATTGGTAGAATGGGTAGCATAAGGGAGGAATAGAATCTCACGGGAAGAATGGGCAGCAGGTCGAGCAGGTTCTGCCGGAGCTGCATTAGGCGGTCGAGAGGCGACGCGTCTAGGGGCACTCGCCCTGACGCCATGCGCATGGGGTTACCTGGGGAGAGGAGAGGAGGAGAGGGGGGCGACGAGGAGAAGGGAAGGATGGGGTTGAAAAACTTAAAAAAGCAGGGGAGGGATGGGTTGTAGTGGGGCAGTGCACAGCAGCAGAGGCGAGGCGTCCAGAGGCACTTGCGCTCACGCGCGTGGAGGGAGGTGGCGTGGAGGGAGGTGGCGTGGAGGGAGGTGGCGTGGAGGGAGGTGGCGTGGAGGGAGGTGGCGTGGAGGGGAAGGGTGGGGGTGGAAAATTGAGACAGAGGTGCGAGGTAGTGGGGCAGAGTAGAGCAGAGAAGAGAAGAGGCGTCCAGCGGCACTCGCCCTGGCGCCATGCGCATGGGGCTGCCTGGGAGGAGAGGAGGGGCGGGGGAGGGAGGGGGTTGACAACCGAAAACTGAGAATGGGGTGCGAGGTAGTGGGGCAGATTACAGCAGAGGAGAGGAGAGGCATTCACAGGCACTCGCTCTGGCGCCATGCGCATGGGGCTGCCTGGGAGGAGAGGGGGTGGGCCTTACCCATGGTGAAGCTGAGGAGGTAAGGGAAGACACGGTGGGGGCGGCATGGGGCATGGCACATAGGGCATGCGAGGTTGGTTGGGGCACGGGGCACGTGGCATGCAGCACAGTGCACGGGGCCTTACCCATGGTGAAGCTGAGGAGGTAAGGGAAGACACGGTGGGGGCGGCATGGGGCATGGCACATAGAGCATGCGAGGTTGGTTGGGGCACGGGGCACGTGGCATGCAGCACAGTGCACGGGGCCTTACCCATGGTGAAGCTGAGGAGGTAAGGGAAGACACGGTGGGGGCGGCATGGGGCATGGCACATAGGGCATGCGAGGTTGGTTGGGGCACGGGGCACGTGGCATGCAGCACAGTGCACGGGGCCTTACCCATGGTGAAGCTGAGGAGGTAAGGGAAGACACGGTGGGGGCGGCATGGGGCATGGCACATAGGGCATGCGAGGTTGGTTGGGGCACGGGGCACGTGGCATGCAGCACAGTGCACGGGGCCTTACCCATGGTGAAGCTGAGGAGGTAAGGGAAGACACGGTGGGGGCGGCATGGGGCATGGCACATAGGGCATGCGAGGTTGGTTGGGGCACGGGGCACGTGGCATGCAGCACAGTGCACGGGGCCTTACCCATGGTGAAGCTGAGGAGGTAAGGGAAGACACGGTGGGGGCGGCATGGGGCATGGCACATAGGGCATGCGAGGTTGGTTGGGGCACGGGGCACGTGGCATGCAGCACAGTGCACGGGGCCTTACCCATGGTGAAGCTGAGGAGGTAAGGGAAGACACGGTGGGGGCGGCATGGGGCATGGCACATAGGGCATGCGAGGTTGGTTGGGGCACGGGGCACGTGGCATGCAGCACAGTGCACGGGGCCTTACCCATGGTGAAGCTGAGGAGGTAAGGGAAGACACGGTGGGGGCGGCATGGGGCATGGCACATAGGGCATGCGAGGTTGGTTGGGGCACGGGGCACGTGGCATGCAGCACAGTGCACGGGGCCTTACCCATGGTGAAGCTGAGGAGGTAAGGGAAGACGCGGTAGACGTCCGGTGGGATGGAGCGTGGGGCATGGGCATGAGGCATGGTACATGCGGGGTTGGGGGGCACGGGGCATGGAGCTTACCCATGGTGAAGCTGAGGAGGTAGGGGAAGACTCGGTAGACGTCCGGTGGGATGGAGCGTGGGGCATGGGCATGAGGCATGGTACATGCGGGGTTGGGGGGCACGGGGCATGGAGCTTACCCATGGTGAAGCTGAGGAGGTAGGGGAAGACTCGGTAGACGTCCGGTGGGATGGAGCGTGGGGCATGGGCATGAGGCATGGTACATGCGGGGTTGGGGGGCACGGGGCATGGAGCTTACCCATGGTGAAGCTGAGGAGGTAGGGGAAGACTCGGTAGACGTCCGGTGGGATGGAGCGCAGCACTGGAATCAATGGGTGTAGTGGCGAGCGCGGGAAGCTTGTCGCTGGAAGGGGGGAGGAGAGGGAAGGGGAGAGGGGAGATGGGGGGGTTTGGGTGGGATGGAGCGCAGTACTGGAATCAGCGGGTGCAGTGGCGAGCGCGTGAAGCTCGTTGCTGCAGGGGCAAGAGGGAGGGGGAAAGGTGGATGGGAGGGGGAGGGGAGAGGGGAGGGGGAGGGGAAACGGGTTCATAAGTGGCAGGGCATCATAGAAGGGAAGGGCACAGGGAAGTGGAAGGGGAAGTGGAAGGGGAAGTGGAAGGGGAAGTGGAAGGGGAAGAGAGCAGGAGGATGAGCGGGGAAGAATGAGTGGGTGGAGAGGCAGGGGGCACGTGAAGGAAGGAAAAGCCACCAGGATAAAAAATTGTGGCGCAGTTGGTTGGTTGCATAACGAGAGAGGTGCAAGAGGAGGGAGGAGGGGGAGGCACGTACCAGGGTTGACGAGCACGAGAGTGATGGGCAGCTTGGGATTGCGTGCAGAGACAGCGAGGGCGAGCAGGGCGCCAAAGGACTCCCCCAGGAGGAAGAGTGCGCGGGAGGGGTTCAACTTGTGCTCCCTCACCACCTCCTCCTCCACCAGGTCAACTAGACGAGTGAAGTCCGTGCGGTCAGAGAGTGGCACGTGCAGACAGGTCACCTCGAACAGCCTGGGGGTGTGTGGGTGGGGGAGGGAGGTGGCAGAGCACATGGCCGATGGGAGATGGCAGGCGAAGGGGAGTGGCAGATTGATTGATGGGAGGGGTTGACGAGTGAAGTCCGTGCGGTCAGATAGAGGCACGTGCAGACAGGTCACCTCGAACAACCTGGGGGGTGTGGGGGGCGGGGCGGTGTCAAGATATGAACTTTGAGTGGAGAACAGTGCGTTATTATGGGCTAGATTAGTGCGCATCACCCTGAACCTTGAGTGCACCTTGAGTGCACGTTGAGTGCACGTTGAGTGCACCTTGAGTGCACGTTGAGTGCACGTTGAGTGCACCTTGAGTGCACGTTGACTGCACCTTGAGTGCACCTTGAGTGCACGTTGAGTGCACGTTGAGTGCACCTTGAGTGCACCTTGAGTGCACGTTGAGTGCACGTTGAGTGCACCTTGAGTGCACGTTGAGTGCCCGTTGAGTGCACGTTGAGTGCCCAGCTGTTGATCACCTTGGGTTGTCCAAGAGCATACCTGGCGAGTGTCTTGTGGTGCAGCTGCAGGCCAAACCCCGTTCCCTCGATGCCTGCACGCAGCACAAGAGTAGTATAAACATCAGCATCAGCATAAGCAGCGAACAATCAGCATTAGCATCAGCATCAGCATCAGCATCAGCATCAGCATCAGCATCATCATCAGCATCAGCATCAGCATCAGCATTCGCATCAGCATCAGCATCAGCATTCGCATCAGCATTAGCATCAGCATCAGCATTAGCATCAGCATCAGCATTAGCATCAGCATTAGCATCAGCATCAGCATCAGCATCAGCATCAGCATCAGCATCAGCATCAGCATTCGCATCAGCATTAGCATCAGCATCAGCATCAGCATTAGCAACAGCATCAGCATCAGCATTAGCATCAGCATCAGCATCAGCATCAGCATCAGCATCAGCATCAGCATCAGCATTAGCATCAGCATCAGCATCAGCATTAGCATCAGCATTAGCATTAGCATCAGCATCAGCATCAGCATCAGCATCAGCATCAGCATTCGCATCAGCATTAGCATCAGCATCAGCATCAGCATCAGCATTCGCATCAGCATTAGCATCAGCATCAGCATCAGCATCAGCATTAGCATCAGCATCAGCATCAGCATCAGCATCAGCATCAGCATCAGCATTAGCATCAGCATTAGCATCAGCATTAGCATCAGCATTAGCATCAGCATTAGCATCAGCATTAGCATCAGCATTAGCATCAGCATTAGCATCAGCGTTAGCATCAGCGTGTCACCAACCATGAACTCTGAACCAAGAGGGACACCTCTGCAGGACCGCAGCACCCTCACCACCACATACATCTCTACACGGCCCACACCAGCTCACACCAGCTCACACCACCTCACACCAGCTCACACCACCTCACACCAGCTCACACCAGCCCACACCAGCTCACACCAGCTCTTGAATCTCCAGCCATCCGCGTTCAACCCCCCTCATCCTCCCCCGCAGCACACTCATCCTCTCGTTCCGCCCACAATCATCCCGTCTTCCATGCCCAATTCACATACCCCTCACCGCTCCTCCCTTCCCCGTGCCCCTAGCTCTCCGGGTTCCACCACCTGGCAGGAAGAAGAGCCGCGGAAGCAGCCCCTCGTCGCTGGGCGGAACGGCATCCGCGGGGCACAGGAACCGCGGAGGCCCGCTTTCCGCCCTCTCCGCCCCGCGCTCTCCGCTCCCCGCGCCTGCGCTGCTATCAACGCCCGCCTCCGCGGATCCGGGGAATAGCGACTCCAGGAAAGGGGGGACGGGGAGGGGGAGCGGCGGCAGGGGGACAGGCAGGGGGAGCTGGGGGAAGGGCAGCGGGAGCGGGGGAAAGGGCAGGGGGAAAGTCGCAGCAGGTGCAGTGCTGCTCGCGCGGGATTCGCCGCTTTGATCCCCCTGAATAACTTCTTGCACGGCGCGCAGGTAGTCGAACACGTCCGGCGGAATGTGCTCCTTCCGCACGTCCTTCACGCGCGCGTACCTCGCGCGCACCGCCCTCGTCCGCTCCCGCATCGCTGCACGCATCGCCGCCCGCTCCCTCTCCGCTTCTCCCTCCCCGTTTCCCCCACCCGTGCCTCTCGCGCTGCCGTTGGTCGCGGATCCGTTTGTAAGGGGACGCGCGGAGCCATTCGACGGGGATGTATCGGCGGAAGCACTAGCAGCGGAAGAGCTTTCAAGCGCGGCGCTGCCGTTGGGGCTATGCGCGGGGGAGGGAGTGGCGGAATTGGCAGTGCTGTTTTGCGCGCGCTCGTTCCTCGGCGCGGGAATCTGCGCCGTTGCGGTGATGCGCACGCGGTGAGGAGCTCTGCGCGCGGAGTCGCGGGAAAGGGGGCGGATTTGCGGGTCCGCAGCGCGAAGTGCGCTGGCCTGGCGATGGCACAGCATGGCGGAGGAGATTTAGGGAACTAAGCCGAATAAAGGAGGGAATGTGGTAGGCTGGGACGGAGCGACAGCAGCGTGTGCGACAGCAGCGTGTGCGACAGAAACGTGTGCGACAGCGACGCGTGCGACAACACCGTGTGCGTAACTGACGCTATTACTGGGAACGCAGGAACGCGGACGTCAAGAAATGGAAAGCTGAGGCACGCGCTGGATGTCAGTACAACCCAGCGAAAAGGTGAAGTCTTTCTTATCTCGGCTAGAAGAGCAAGTAAAGACGGAAAAGCAGCGAAGAGCAAAGAAAGGAGATTCCACACCCCAAGCAAACGGTTCGCGTGCATCTGTGATCGAGTGTAGTGGAGAGGAGAAATTAGAGGCTCTGGTTATTCCGGCCCGGCCACTCCCCGAGCCTGCCGACCTTGGGTTTGGCAGGGCGGGAAAGGGGATGTACAGTTGCAGGTCGATGCTTTCCAGGAGCACAGGGAAGCTCCTTAGAATGCCACGTGGCTGCGAAACATTTGCTGCTGGCAGTCAACGCGTGGCTAGGCAAACGAGCGGCCACGACTTGATGTTTGCGACGCTTGTGGTGAGGCTCTGTTTCGCCAACCAGCTTCGTCGTAACATGGAGAGAGGAACACCTGATTGTGTTACATTCCCAACATTACACGCACGGCGCATTTTCATTCACAACTAGCCGACAACTCTTAGTCCTGTATCGAGTAGGCTTCAATGGCAACATGAATTCACCACAAGCAAAGCAAGTCAAGTCCAACCCATTCGAATTCAATGTTCCCCCTAGTAATGGCTCCGCTACCAGTTACTGTAACCCCCGACCCGCTCACTGGCGCTTCTAACCTCCTCCTTGTTGTAGAGGCGTCTCCTCTACTTTGCAGGAACTCTAAGTTGCACTAAACGATAGAGAACAGTCTTGGCTTTCCAACAAGCCGTCAAACACGTTAATCGCCCAAGTATACGCCGAGATATTGGCGTTCACGTGATTGCTAGTGCTCTTAGAAGCAAGGATAGACCTCTCTGGAATTTTGGTTCGAATGGACCATGTACAAGAAGATTCAGGATTTCAGTATAAAGCATGCATACAAGGCAGGTCGATTTATAGCAAATGCATTACATCGAACCGCACATGTAACATCACATCGCTACACTCGCGTCGCGAATGCGCCGCGTGTAACATTTCGGTTGGGGTGAAATTCGACCACCGAATTTCACACCGAACACACCGAATTCGCCTTGCACTTGAAGGTTGGAATGTGGTGCCGCCACGTGGCACCGAAGGGTGAGTCTCCCGAAGTCAATCGGTGCCACCCCACCGATCCCTAGTCAAAGGGATCGAAGGCACCGAAGTGCCCTCGGTGGGTTGGGGGCATACCACCGCCCCACCACCGTTTCCTTCCAACACTTCCCCTTGCACCCAAGCCACTAGGTGTTCATACCAACACGCTCACGGCATGCACGGAATGAATCCTTAGGGAGTGGTTTAGTGAGGAAATCCTCGGGTTGCGCCTTGGTGCTTATGTATGTGACCTTGACCTCACCTCTCTCGACCACCTCACGAATGAAGTGATGCTTCACCTCAATGTGCTTGGTACGCCCGTGAAGGACGGCATTGTGAGTGAGGTTTATGGCCGCTTGGTTGTCACAAAAGAGAGGAGTTGGGTCGGCTTGAGGATGCCCAAGCTCCGCTAGAAGGCGCCGTAGCCATATTGCCTCCATGGCTCCTTGAGTGAGTGCCATATACTCCGCTTCCGTTGTGCTTAGAGCCACGGTTGGTTGCAACTTGCTTTGCCAACTCACGGCTCCCCCAAGCAAGGTGAAGACGTACCCGCCGGTACTCTTGCGCTTGCTTTGATCACCGGCATAATCCGAGTCGGTGTAGCCCTTAAGCACGATTGGACCGGCTTCATATACGATTCCCAAGTTGGGTGTGCCTTGGAGGTAGCGTAGAACACGTCCTCCCGCACGCACATGCTCGGTATGAGGGTTGCTTACGGCTCGTCCAAGTACCCCGGCGGCGTATGAGAGGTCGGGATGGGTGGAAACGGCGGCATACATGAGTGAGCCGACTAGCGAATGAAACCGCTTCCTTTCGGCTTCGTCGAGGGCGGATTCTTCCTCTCCCGGGAGGCAAGAAAATCCCGTGTCTAGTGGCGTCCCCACCGGGTTGCTATTACCCATGCCGAAGCGCTCCACAACCCCTTTCACATATTCTTCTTGGTGGAGGTGAATGGTCCCGTTCGCGCGGTCGCGGTCGACGTGCATCCCGAGGTAGTACGTCACCGGTCCCAAGTCCCTCATGGCAAACTCCGCCCCTAGCCGTTGCTTGACCTCTCGAATGAGGTCTTTGGAGTCGGAGAAAAGAAGGAGGTCATCGACGTAGAGCAAAAGCACCAATTGCTTCTCCCCCTCCTTCAACACGTACAAAGCGCTATCACACACGCTACGCGCGAAGCCGTGTTGAAGAAGAAAGTCGTCGATGCGCTTGTACCATCCGTGTGGGCTTTGCTTCAAGCCATAGAGGGTACGCTTGAGCTTCCACACCCGACCGCTACCGTCATCATAACCCGGGGGTTGCCGCATGTAGACTTCTTCCATGAGAAGCCCGTAGAGGAAGGCGGTGCAAACGTCCAATTGTTCCACCTCGAGGTTGAGAGATGCCGCTAGCGCGAGCAACACCCGAAGAGTGGAGGCCTTCGAAACGGGAGCGAAGGTCTCACTATAGTGCTCCCCCTCCCGTTGAGTGTACCCTTGCGCCACAAGCCGCGCCTTGTAGCGTTCGACACCTCCATCGGCTCCCAATTTCTTCCTAAGCACCCACTTGCATCCCACCAAGTAGGCACCCTTCGGCGGGTCGACGAGCTCGAAAACATCGTTCTCCTTGATCGATGCTAACTCCCTCTCCATCGCTTGCTTCCATAGCGGTGCATCCGGGGAAGCCAAAGCCTCCTTGTGAGTGCGTGGGTTATCGTCGCCGATGGTCGCTAGGCAAACCGCCGCACTCTCCTCATCCGACTCCCCAACGGCGACCGTAGCATAGTCGGTTAACCTCGTGTTGGGGCGAGGTGTACGACGCCCGCGAGTCAACGCCAATGGTAGGGAAGAAGGTGCGGAGGAAGTGGCCTCCTCGGTTGGTGGCACCTCCTCGACATCATCATCGCACTCCTCGTTCTCTCCCCCTCCACTTTCGGCTCCCTTCTTCACGTGCGGTGAAACCTCCACCGCTTCATCCTCCTCTCGTGCGGGAAGGACGACGGTGAGTTGCGGCGTTTGTTTCTCCTTTGTCGGGAACTTGTCTTCGTCGAAGATCACATCCCGAGACGTGACGACGCGTTTTTCATCCAAATCCCACACTCGCCATGCACGCTCGTTCGCCGCAATCCCCAAGTAGATCGCCGCACGAGCTTTCGGTTGCAACTTGTGGCGAAGTGGATCCGGTACATGGTAGTAGCAAAGGCACCCAAAGGTGCGTAGGCGGTATAGGTTCGGCTTCGTTCCGGTCCATGCTTCGAACGGAGTCGTTCCCGGTAGCACCTTTGTTGGCACACGATTACGAATCCATGCCGCTAGCGCACTCGCCTCTCCCCACCACTCGTTCCCAAGCTTGGAGTGTTGAAGTAGTGAACAAACGGCTTCCACCAACGTGCGATTAAGCCGCTCCGCCGCTCCATTTTGTTGGGGTGTGTAGGGTGTCGTGACGTCGTGCTTTATGCCCTTGCTCTTCATCCATTTCTCAAGCTCCGCGTTCACGAATTCGCCCCCACCGTCGGTGCGAATACACTTGATCCGCTTCTTGTCGTCGTCGCAAACATCGAGCGCCCACTCTTGAATCGCCTTGGCCGCATCTCCCTTAGCCTTCAAGAGTCGGGTCCAACACATCCGCGTCGCGTCGTCGAGCATCACCAAGAGGAACCGCGCTCCTCCCTTTGATGCATGTCGCATCGGTCCACACACGTCCATGTGAACAAGCGCAAGCGGGTCCTTAGCGAGGGGTGACGTTCGGCTACCAAATGGCTTGCGAGCCATTTTTCCTTCGACACACGCCGCGCACACGCCCTTCTCGTCGTTGCCGGCGATCACGTCAAATCCCTTCGCAAGTCCTTTGTTGGCCAACTCTTTGACCGAGTCGTAGTTGGCGTGCGCAAGCCGATTATGCCACATTTTGAGAGTCGCCTTGGAGCCTTGCGCCACGTTGGATGAGGCCGTTGTCGGATGCGTCTTGAGTTGGTAGAGTTGTCCGTTGAGAACGCCTTGCGCGAATTGCTTCCCCTTCCAAAAGAGGTTCATCTTCGCGCCATCGATGGTGACCTTCACGTCTTTCTTTGCGAGTTGAGTGACGGAGAGTAGATTCACCTTCAATCCCGGGACGTGAAGCACGTTCGTGATGTCCACCGGCCCGCCATCGACGATGAGACGCGTACTCCCAACTCCAACCACCGGTAGCGATTTATCGTTCCCGAAGACGACGCGCTTGACGTCTCCCGGAGCACCGACGTTGTTGAGGAGCGACGCCGAGTGCGTCATGTGTTGTGTTGCACCGGTGTCGAGGAACCACGCGTCGTTTGAAGTGTTGATCCCGTCACCGGCCAACAAAACGAGCGACTCCGTTGAATCATCCGCCTCGCCGGATGCCGTGTGCGCGTTGCCCTCTTGGTTCCGCGCCTTCGATGGAATCCAATCGCTCGGGCGCTTCCGACACTCACGCCAAAAGTGTCCCGGTTTGCGACAATAATGACACTTGCTCGAACCGTTCGATGCGTTGCCCTTGCCGCGACCGTTTCCACCGGACGACTTCTTTGCCTCACCGTTGCTCCACTTGGACTTCTTTCTGGAGCTCCCTCCGGAGAACATGGCGGACTCCACGCTCTCGTTAGCGAATTGTCGGCGTCGCGATTCTTCATGGAGAAGCCGACCGACCACCATTTCCTTCGTCCAAGTGTTTTGCACGCTATCGAGTGTCCTCTGATACCACTGTTGTAGAGGCGTCTCCTCTACTTTGCAGGAACTCTAAGTTGCACTAAACGATAGAGCACAGTCTTGGCTTTCCAACAAGCCGTCAAACACGTTAATCGCCCAAGTATACGCCGAGATATTGGCGTTCACGTGATTGCTAGTGCTCTTAGAAGCAAGGATAGACCTCTCTGGAATTTTGGTTCGAATGGACCATGTACAAGAAGATTCAGGATTTCAGTATAAAGCATGCATACAAGGCAGGTCAATTTATAGCAAATGCATTACATCGAACCGCACATGTAACATCACATCGCTACACTCGCGTCGCGAATGCGCCGCGTGTAACATTTCGGTTGGGGTGAAATTCGACCACCGAATTTCACACCGAACACACCGAATTCGCCTTGCACTTGAAGGTTGGAATGTGGTGCCGCCACGTGGCACCGAAGGGTGAGTCTCCCGAAGTCAATCGGTGCCACCCCACCGATCCCTAGTCAAAGGGATCGAAGGCACCGAAGTGCCCTCGGTGGGTTGGGGGCATACCACCGCCCCACCACCGTTTCCTTCCAACACTCCTTTCGCGCGTCAGCCTCCTTTCCGCGCACAACTGCCCCTTTCGCCTCCCCTCCGCGCAGAAGGGCCTCTCCCGCCGCAGCTGCGGGCGCAAATTACCCCCCTTCAGCGCATCCGCAGCCCTCCTACAGCGGCTGCGCGCACGTGCGCTCTGCTCCGCCTCGACTCCCCGGCGAGGCGCGAGTTCCGGAAACAGAACGCACGCAGTTGAACGTGGATGACCCGGATGATCCGGTTCCCCGGCCGGATGGTCCGGTTGATCCGGTTCCCGACCCGGTACCCCACCCGGTTGGCCCGGTTGGTCCGACTCCCCACACGGTCGGTTCGGCGCCCCGTGCGGATGACCCGGATGATCCGGTTCCCCATCCGGATGGTCCGGTCGATCCGGTTCCCGACCCGGTACCCGACCCGGTACATGGACGGTGGGGATGATCCTAACCGCCGCTACACGGTGGACGATGCGCTCTCTGCCGTCGGATTCGGCGCGTTTCATTGGCTGCTGCTAGGATATGCCGGCCTGGCGTGGGCGGCAGAGGCCATGGAGCTGCTGCTGCTGTCCTTCATCGCCGCCCCCGCTGCCGCCCACTGGGGCGTGGGCGGCGACGGCGAGGCGGCGCTGTCGTCTGTAGTGTTCACGGGCATGCTGGTGGGCGCGTTCGCGTGGGGGCTGCTGGCGGATAGCCGCGGGCGCAGGTGAGACGATGGTGGGACGAAGGTCAAAATGCTTCTCCCTCCCTGCTCCACACACACGTCATCCATTCCCCTCTTTCACTCCTACACCTTCCCTCCCCCTTCTTTCACCCCACCGACTCATTCCCCCAAACCCAGGTTCGCCTTCACAGCAACGGCCCTCCTCACCTTCCTCGCAGTGCTCCTCTGCTTCCCTAAGCTCTCTGCCTGCCCCACATCCCCCCAAACCAGGTTCGCCTTCACAGCAACGGCCCTCCTCACCTTCCTCGCAGCGCTCCTCTCAGCCCTCGCCCCCTCCTTCCCGCTCCTCCTTGCCGCCCGCGCCCTCGTCGGGGTCGGCCTGGGCGGCGCGCCCGTCATCTTCTCGCTCTTCCTCGAGTTCACGCCGCCCGCTTCCCGCGGCTTCTGGTCGCTCGCCCTCTCTCTCTTCTGGACCGTCGGATCAGTCGCCGAAGCTGCTCTAGCATGGGCAGTGCTACCAGTGCTGGGATGGAGATGGCTCATCGTTCTCTCCTCGCTGCCCCTCCTGCTGCCGCTGCTGCTCTTCCCGCTCCTTCCCGAGTCTCCGAGGTTCCTTCTGGTGAAATCTCGGCCGTCGGATGCGCTGGCAGTGCTGCAACACGTGGCAAGGCTTAACAGGAGGGCGCTGCCAGCAGGGCAGGTCAGCCTGGTTGCAGGGGGCGGGGGGTCTCAGGGTGGATCTCAGGTGGAAAAAACAGAAGGGGGAGAGTCAGAGGAAGTCGCACCGCTGCTGCAGAGTGCGAACGAGAGGAACAGTTGGAACTGCTCCCTCCCCTCCCTCCCTTCCTTCCTCTCCTTCCCGCCGCCAGCCCTGCGTCAGCTGCTCTCTCTGCCTCTCCTCACCACAACGCTGCTCCTGTGGGGGGTGTTCTTTGCCAATGCATTCTCCTAATATGGCCTCGTGCTGCTCACCACGCAGCTCACTGTTGCCACTCCCGCCTGCCCCCCTGCTGCTGCTGCTGCCTCTGCTGCTGCGGTATCTGCTGCTGCTGCCAGCAGTGCTGTAGGTGCTGCTGGTGATAGCGTAGTGACTGCTGCTACTGCCGCTGCCGGTGCTGCCACTGCTGCTGGTGATGGCCTAGTAACTGCTGCCGCTGCTGCTTCCGGGGCAGAGGCAGCAGCAAGGGATGCAGTGGAGCGACTAGGGCAGCCCTTCTTTTTCGGTGTGCTTATAACGAGTGCAGCAGAGCTCCCCGGGTTGCTGCTCTCCGCGCTTATAGTGGATCGAGTGGGTCGGCGCACCACCATCGCTGCCATGCTTGCTGCTGCCGCCCTCGCCCTCCTCCCCCTCCTCCTCCACTCCCTCCTCCCAGACTTGTCAGTGCTCGCGCTTGCCGCCCTCCCGGCTGCCACTGTAGCAGCGCTGTTTGTTGCCCGGGCGGCGATCATGGGGTCGTTTCAGACACTGTTCATGTTCGCACCAGAGGTGAGCCACTCTGCCGGCTCTTGAGCCGCCTCAAGCAGTTTATGTGGCGCCTTTTGTTGAATGCTGAGACGCCTCAGAGATCTGCTCATGTTCACACCAGAGTGGGGAGCGACTTTTGAGTCGACTCAAAAATCACCTATGTTTTGAGACGCCTCAGAGATGTGTTATGTTCACACAAGAGGTGGGGAGCATCTGTGCTGGGTGCTGTTCGTTCGCATGCGTCTTCCTCTCGCTGCTGCCATCTGCCTTAATTTGCTGTCTGTAGTTGTAAGCAGGGGCTGCAACAGTTGCAAGAGCTACAGTAGTGGCACGGGCTCGCCTTTTCGTAATCCCCCCTTTGCCCATCCTCTCCTTTTCCCTTCCCTTCCCCCCCCCCTCCTCTCCCCACTCCTCTCACTCACTCTCCTCTCCCCCCACCCCCTCTCGCAGCTCTATGCCACTTCCGTCCGATCTTCTGGCCTCGGCTTTGCCAGCTCGTTCTCCCGTTTGGGTGGCATCGTTTGTCCTTACGTGGCGATCACCTTGGTGCAGGGCTGCCAACTGTCTACAGCGCTGTCCCTCTTTGTAGCTGTCCCGCTAACAGCAGCAATAGCCACCACTTTTTTCCCTGTAGAAACCGCAAGAAGAGCACTTATAGAGGTGCATGTTGAGGAAGGGGGATACGGGGGGCAGAGTGACCAAGAAAAAGGTCGAAAGCAAGGTGTTGTGAAAGATGATTCACGCGGCTTGTGATGCCTTTTGTACAGTGGCATGGCTAATCAATCCATACCCTACTTTTGAGTTATGCTCGACTACCATGTTTACCGCATGAATGGGCTGGTTGTCGATCGAAAGAGGTTACAGATACAACCTGAAAAGTAGGACCCAACTCTCTGGCCGCGACTGCTTTGGCCCAGCTTCCACCCAGATTTGAATAATAAACAAGTTGTAATAAAAATTGTGTAGTAACTTGCATTATATAGGTGTGTGCTTACATTGCTCAGCTCTAGATGCCTAGCCCCTAGCTCTGAACAGAATCAGACCGCATGAGATTGTAAAATGTCTCCCTAAGTCGCAGGATAAAAGGGCAGAAAGAGGTGGCTTTCTACGTGCCATTCATATCCTCTCCTCCTCCACTCCTTTATCCTGACATTCACTCCCCATGCAGTCTTCCTTGCCTTCCATCATGCTCCACTTGCCTCCAGCGATTGCCAGCCTGCTGATGGCATGATGCCATGCCATGCCATGCCATGCCACACCATGAAACACCATGCCATGGCATCACACACCATACCATGGCACACATGGCATGCCACACAATGGCAAACCACACATGCCACAGCATGGAATGCCAAACCATACCATCCCACAACATAGCAGAACAACCCAAACCATGGCATGGCATGCCACACTATGCCATGCCACACCATGACATGCCACACTATGCCATGGCACACCATGACATGCCACACTATGACAATCACACACCATTGAGTAACTTACCTCACATATACATACCACACAGTAAAATACCACACAATAACATACCACAGTAACATACCCCTCACCACACTCACCGCCCCACCCCACTTCACACAAAACCCCCACCAAAACTTACCAACGACCTGTCCGACAATGCCACATGATCACAACACTACCACATAATAGACACCACATCATTATGCCACACTGTTATGTACAACAGTACACATAGCACACTAAGGGATCCCCATAGTAGCAACATGCCGTAGCATAAGTTGCCATGGCCTTTCTTACATCCCAGATCGCGGCATGCCAAGATGTTGGATACCACGCTATGATATGCACACTGACACCATCACATGCCATACTATCATGCACCACACTATCATCCAGCACACTATCATACACCACACTATCACATATCACACTATCACACACCACACTATCACATACCACACTATCACACACCACACTATCACATACCACACTATCACACACCACACTATCACATACCACACTATCACACACCACACTATCGCACACCACACTATCACACACCACACTATCGCACACCACACTATCACACACCACACTATATCACATACCAGAAGGGGATTCACCCCTTCCTTCTCACCCATCCCACCCAAGGGGATTCACCCCTTCCTTCTCACCCATCCCACCCAAGGGGATTCACCCCTTCCTTCTCACCCATCCCACCTAAGGGGATTCAGTCCCCTTCCCTCTCACCCGCTCAAGGGGTTTCAGGCCCCTTCTCTCTCACCCACCCACACAGCCCATCCCCACCTTCACCTGCCAGCAGTAGGAGCAGCAGAAAGCCCACTTTCTTAAGGAAACAGCACCCCCAGAGGCGGTGCCTTGTGGGGCGAGGTATGGTAATGGAAAATTGCTTCCAGCCCAAGACTCAAATCCCACCCCTGACGTAGCCAGAGCTGACGCGAACCAGAGCCGCCGGCCGGTCGGCTCTAACGGTGTCCATTAGGCCTTGCACGTCAGATTGGTTACTTGAGCACCGAGTGCCGTGCCGCGCAGATTCCACCCACCACACCCCACCACCACAAGACACAACCCCAGGTGATGCTGCCCCTTAGGCAGTGAACTCCCCACTTGCTCCCATCCTCCCCACCCCCCACCCCACACTTCACCCCCATGCCTCCTCACCTGTACCTACCACAGCCGTGCAGAGCGCCATGATGCTGAGGCTGCTGGGAAGTGGAGAGAGAAGGGGGGATTAGGGGAGGGAGAGACTCCGCTGTGGTCCAGGCCTGGTGCTGCTGGGAGGGAAAGGAAAAGGGAGAGAAGAGGAGGTGAGTGAGGGGGTAGACTCCACTCTCCCGGCCTTGCTCCAGTGCTCCCACCTTCAGCCTGCAGGAGAGAAAGGGAGGGAGGAAGAGAGGGGAGGGAATCAGATCACCACACCTCACCTGGTACCATACCAAACCTTTTACCACACCTCGCTCACACCATGCCTAGCCTAATCTCCTGCCCATCCCCCAAACCCCCACTGCTGCTGCACTGCTGCTTCTGCTGCTGCAACTGCTGCTGCTGGTCTGCTACTCTGCTTCCTCTGCTGCACTCTTCTCTTGATGCCAAGTGACCTGGTGGCGGGCAGAGAAGGGGGAGGGGGAAAGGAGAGAAAGGCAGGAGGTTAGTGATGTGACGTGAACAGAAACACTAAAGACAACACAGGGCGAAGCAGAAGCATAAGCAGCAAGGGAGGCAGCGCCAAAGACCCACAGCAACACGTGAGTGTGGCAGCAAAGAGCTGGAAAGAGGCTTACCTTGGCAGACTCAAGCCCAAGCCCATACTCTCCCTTGAGGCAGTGGGATTGCCATGCTGCAGTGCTGCCTCCCTCCCGTCCCCTCCCAGCGCCGCCTCCCTCCCTCCCTCCTGCACGGCCACCGGGGAGGGGCGTGGGGTGTTGACCCCAGCGCCCCCCCCCTCCACCTGCAATGCACACACACGGCAGTGGTCAGTATGCATGAAATGGCCGCAACACCAGCCACAGCCCAGAAACTGCTAAGTCTGGAAGTGAAAGGAGGGCCACTGGTTGAGGCAAGGGCACACGCCACAGACGCCAAGGGAACCTGCACCTGAGGGGGAGACCTGTGCACCTGAGGGGGGGGACCTGCACACCTGAGGAGATACCTGGAGTGTGGGAGTCTGTGGCATGTGAACCGCGCTTGACCAGTGGCATTGTTTCAAAGAGAAGGGCGACTCAACAGGAAAACGAAATGACAGCATAGAAATACAAGAGATTACGTGCAAGGAGGGCGAGGGCATGGAGGGTTACTTAGCTGGTGGCGTGAGGGCGAGCTCAAGGCAGCTGAAGCACCACCAGCTGCCTCCCTCCACGGCAGCCCTCCTCCCAGCCTTCCCGTGTGCGTCCCTGCACGACCACAGGGGAGGGGCGTGAGGGAGCGTCGGTGTTGACCCCACACCCCTCCCCGCCACCTGCAATGCGCACACACAAAGCTAGTCAGAGCACAGTGGTGCGATCAATTTGAATGGGTAGCGGTGACTTCAAATGCAGAGCAAGAGAAAGGAGGAGCCATTGGAGGAGGCACGACCACAAGCTACAGACCCCATGGGCTGAACCTGAGAGGCTTACTTGCACCTGAGGGGGTTACCTGAACCTGAGGGGGTTACCTGCACCTGAAGGATTACCTGAAGCAGGGGGGTCTGTGGCATGTGAACCGCACTCAACCAATGGTGTTGTTTCGAAGGGAAGGGTGAAAGCACAAACAGCAAAACGAAACGACAGCAAGGGTGAGCGCATGGGGAGGAGGGATACTTAGCTGGTGGCGTGAGGGCGAGCTCAAGGCAGCTGAAGCACCACCAGCTGCCTCCCTCCACGGCAGCCCTCCTCCCAGCCCTCCCATGTGCGTCCCTGCACGGCCACAGGGGAGGGGCGCGAGGGAGCGTCGGTGTTGACCCCACACCCCTCCCCGCCACCTGCAATGCGCACACACAGAGCTAGTCAGAGCACGGTGGTGGGAGCAAGTTGATGACTTGAATTCCAGAGCAAAGAAGGGAGGAGCCACTGGAGGAGTCACGACCACAAGCCACAGACCCAAGGGCACCTGAGGAGTTACCTGCACCTGAGGAGATACCTGCACCTGGGGAGTTACCTGCACCTGAGGAGTTACCTGCACCTGAGGAGTTACCTGCACCTGAGGAGTTACCTGCACCTGAGGAGTTACCTGCACCTGAGGAGATACCTGCACCTGAGGAGTTACCTGCACCTGAGGAGTTACCTGCACCTGAGGAGTTACCTGCACCTGAGGGGGGTACCTGAAGAGTGGAGGTCTGTGGCATGTGAGCTGCGCCCAACCAGTGGCAAAGTTTCAAGAAGACGGTGTAAGCAAGCAAGGGTGAGGGCATGGAGGAACGGGTACTTAGCTGATGGCGTGAGAGCAGGAGGCAGTTGAAGCAGCATGGGCAGCAGGCATGGCATGGCGTCTCAGGCGACCAGCAGCGCTGCCCTTGAGCTCCTGCGAGGGGGGCTGACAGGGAATGGACAGCTGGGGATGGGAGGGGAGGAGGAGGGAGGGGAGGGGGAGGGAGGGGAGGCGAGGGAGAGGCAGTGAGTGGGAGAGTCACCATCACAGAAGGGGCGCATGCATGCAAGCGTGGTGAATAGAAGACGAGCGAAAGGAGGGCCACTGGTGGACGCACACTAACAAACCACAGACTACGGTCTTTACCTGAGGGCTTTACCTGGGGGAGGGCTTTACCTGTAGTAAGGGAGGGTCTGTGGGCTGTTTCGTGTGCTGCCACCAGTGGCCTCGTTTTGAGAGAAACAGCAATGAAAGTAGACCGAAGCAAGAATGGGTGCATGGAGGAGCGAGCACTTAGCTGATTATGTGGTGGTTGTGTGCAGAGGGCAGGTGAAGCATGTGCCGGCACCATCAGGTGTTGTCTGCTGCCGCCAGTGGCTTGAGGCATGAGGAGAACGCTGATCCGGCCACATGTGCTTGCTTGCTGCCCCACGTCCGTCTGCCACTGCTCCTCGCGATGAGGCCTGGAAGCGGGAGAGGGGAAGAAAAGGGAATGAGGGGGAGGGGAGGGGTGCACAGGGAGGGGCAGTGAGTGGGATGGGGGCACCACGGTGGAAGGGGATGCATGCAAGCGCGGTGAACTGAAGAAGAGCGAAAGGAGGGCCACTGGTGGATGCACATTCACAAGCCACAGACTACGGTCTTTACCTGAGGGCTTTACCTGGGGGAGGGCTTTACCTGTAGAAAGGGAGGGTCTGTGGGCTGTTTCCTGTGCTGCCACCAGTGGCCCCGTTTTGAGAGGGAAACGAAATGTGGATGCAAGGATGAAGCACTTAGCTGGTCATGTGGTTGCGTGCAGAGGGCAGGTGGAGCATGTGCAGGTAGCAGCAGGTGCTCTGTGCTGCCGCTGAGCGCTGATGCTGCCTCACGTGGTGACTTGCAGCCCCACGGCCGTCTGCCACTGCTCCTTGCAACCAGCAGCCCAGTGGCATGCACAGGAGTGAGGGTCCGAGTGAATGCGGAGAGAACACAGTGAGGAGAGGGGATAGCAGCAAAGGCGTAGCAACTGGGAGAGGAGCGGAGAAGGGGGACGGGAGGGGATGGGGGAAGGGAGGGGGAGGCCCATGGCACACATGCACGAGCGAGCGACGGCGAGGGAAACAGAGAGGAGGAGAGGACTGGACGCGTGCATGCAGCGACGACTGCTAGTCTAACCTACCCCAACCCACTAGCGACTCTGCTCTATGCAAGCGGCTCAAGCAAGCGCTGTGTGCAATGGGCTCCCCAGGGAAGAAGGGAAGGCGGGGAAGGGGAACAATGAGCAGCGGTATGAGATAAGATGCATGGTACAGCGTGCAGCGTTCGAAAGGCACGAGCAAACGAGAAGTGGTACGAGGAGAGCGGGATGGGCTGAGCACTTAGCTTCATGGACGGCGTTTGACGGCGTGTTGGTTGGTGGTGCGCGTAGCACGCGAGTGGCATGCATGCTGTCGCAGGCTGTCTGAGTCACTCAGCTGCTCGCCGCGTTGCTTCCTTCACGACTTCCGTTCAGAGCGTTCACACACTGCACTGCAACGTCAACACACAAAGTACGTCAGACGCTGGATTTGAACCCGCACAAACGACTTTTCACACGCAAAAGGACAAGCCACAGTTTCCCACCTTAGATTGCAGCAGCAGCTCGGATTGCAGTGGCAGCGTTTCTCCTCGGGCCACAGGTTTGTAAGAAGCGGGAAAAAACCTTCGCGCCTCCATTCCGAGTCGCAACTTCAATATTTTCTGCATATGACGGAAAGAAATGTCAAGGATCGAAATAGTAAAGAGGGAAAATGCATACGACTAATGTTGGAACACTGGTTACGAAGATACTACTTACACACGCTGGCACCAGCAACTCGTATTGTGCAGAAGTTAAGACCACACCCCAGCGCTTCAGCAAAAAAACTGCGTATCACAACAGGTATGTCAGATCGAGCGATCAAATCTCTTGAAACGAACGAAGCGAATAACTCGATCATAATGATATACTCCGGTACTTACAGCGCAACTCCTGTAAGATGAAGAAATAACTTCCGTCGAATAACGGTTCTTGAAGTAGCATTTTACCATGTCAAAGTGGAGCCTTGAGTTGGACGAATACCAACAATGCGATTCTTCGAAGCGTCGTAGCGATCTCAACCTATCTGAGCTTCTATCGATCGTTTGCCGAGAGGTACTGGCAGCAGAAGAGAGGAAAGGTATAGTTGAAGGTGAATCGCAAGAATGGAAGAATTCAATGTGATGAGGGAAATGTGAAATGGGATGGGAATGGAAACTAGCAACTGCATGCGGAAGGACATATTGTCCTAGGCTGCGTGGGAGGAGTTGGGTCAACACCGTGGTGTGAGTGGAGCTCCGCTGCTGCTGAGGCTGCTACTCTCTTCAAACATATTTTTCAGAAAAAACAGTGGTCCAAGGCGAGTCCAACTTGGTTGAAAAACGTCAATGTTTAGAGTGACTCCGAATGCCTTTTCCAACTCGCAGATCCAAGGGCTGGAATGGAGTTGTAAGTATTTCTAAATAACGGTGGAGAAAAAAACTACGAAGGAATCAAGCATGAACATTCTATGCTGGCAAATCCTGCATCCCACTCTTTCAGCCTCCCAGCACCATCGCTCCACCCACCTGCCAAGCCCCCGACTATGTCGCTACCTAGGTTATCACCTAGGTTTCTAACTACTGCGGACTCTAGCAGCCCCAGCTTACCTGCATATCCCACCGCACGACTGTCAAACCGTCGCCGATTAGGCAGGTTCCCGTCACTCGACATCGTTTCGGCGCCAGGTAAGTCGGTTTTCTCCCTCGGTCTGCTTCCGCTGCTCACCTTGCTCACCTTTTTCACCTCGATCTCCCTTAATAACTCCACGCCGACATGCAGGGAACAGGTCGCGACTTTTCCTTATCAAAACCAGTCATTTCCTAACATCATACGCGTTTTCCCGCCCAGCCTCGCCCCTCGCCTCCCATGCTTTATCTCTCACCGGTTTTCCCGCTCAACTACCCGATCGATTCCGCTCGCCTGTCTGTGTTTCGACCTTCCTTTTTCGCGAAGCAAACGAGGAGCTTTCTTTACGCCACGCTATCGCCTAGGGACTTTCCAGCGCTGCTGGCCGCACCCTACGGATCCCGCGCCGCCGCCAACGGATAACCCCCCGCCTCCGCCAGGAACCCGGCAGCCTGCACACGCGCTGGTTTTTAACGTTCCGCCCCCTCTCTCTCACACGGGTTTCATCGTCTTGCCGGCTTCCTCTTCTAAGCGATGTCAACAATTTCACCGTCGATTCCGTTTAACCGTGCCCCCCCCCCGTCTATTTTTCCCCCTCCTCCTTCTCCGACGTGTCTGCCATCGCGCACGGCGGGACCCACGCTCGCGCTTCGCCTCCCAGCCATCTTTTCGCAAGTCGGGTGTAAAAACACCGCGATACTGCTATTTTCACATCTCACCGTCGGTCTTCTTCTATTTTTGGCAGCGGTGGCAACCGGAAGCCTTTCTTCGCTACCTCATCCACGCTAACTCTCAGGTAAGTGCTGCCGCACACCCTCCTGCCTCTCTCAGTCCTTTGAAAACTCACCGTTACATTATGCCTCGTGTTCCTATTCCTTTCCTCTGCTGTCGCAACGTCGCTCTCTCTGTCGCTTTGATGCTCCACACCTTGCCTCGCCACCCCTGCTTTTATGCATGGTTTCCGGACTCGGGCTGCCGATTAGGCTTCCAGTCCACCCCTGACTCGGGCTGCCGATTAGGCTTCCAGTCTACTCTGTTGAATCGCTGTGGCCAACGCCTTTGCGTTCACATCCTCGCTCTCTCCTCTGCTTGCATTTGGCCTCGTGACTCCCAGTCAGCGCTCTTAGATCGCCCCGGTCATGGCTCTCGTAACTGCCTGCCTGACCTCCCCCACCCCCGACGCCTCGCAACCCTTGATTTCGACCTTCCTCTCGTGCCTGCAAGCTTATCCTACCCCCCTGTTCGTTTGTCCAGCTTCCCTGCCCTGTCTTTGATGTCGCTAAACGCCTCGGCTATTGACGTAACTCACACCCACTCCCCCAGATGCCCCCCCCCCTCTTCCCCTCCCAGGCTCGTGCCCCTGGCCAATACGACGCCGCCCCTATCCCTTCCCCTAGGTCGGCCTCCTCCCCTAGTTGTGGCTCACCGTGGCTGTCGCACCTCCTACCCTCCCCGCTCCACCCTGTCCTTACACCGCCCCTCAATCCCCCTGGTTCACCCTTCCCCCCTTATGCTTCTCTGGTTTCACCCTGGGCCCTCAGGCGGTCCTGACACCCCGCTGCTCTACCCTCCGCCCTTTCTGTCTTTTGAGGCGCCTTCACAATGCCCCTCAGACACCCCTGTTACCTTGCCGCTCTACCTTCCACCCCTTATATACCCCCACTTGTGGTGCTCCCTGGCCCCCCTCTCCCTATGTGTGCCTGGCAGAAGCCTTTGCTATATGTGCTTCCAAGCAATGCCGCCTCAGTCAGAGAACTACCCCCCTCTGCCTGCACCCCCTGCAGCTTTCGCTGCCCCTTGGTTGCGTGCCCCACGATATTGTGCATCAGATCGCGTCAAGCCGCTTCCATGGGTCAAATGCTTCACTTGCTATCGTTTACTAAGTCTTGTCTTGGTCTATACGCTCAACTGCGACACCTGTCCAAACTTTAGCTGGAAAAAGGGTTACTGTTACTATATTGGACACTACCGTCAATGCAAACTAACAAAAGAGCATAACAATGATAGCGTGTCATTGCACACCTTTGTCGTAAGAAGGATAAAGGATCGTAGACTTTCTTATTACCTGATCTACATACAAACCCCCATAGTCCACCAGTCAATCACTTTTCTGCACTTAGATATATCAGTGCACCTCATGTCAGCCTTGCGGAAAAAAACAGCACGCACATATACTTCACGCACCCCAAACTCCAAAGCATTGCTTCGACATCCCCTTGAATTCAAGTACCTATCGGTACGCCTACTGAACACGCAGACATGCAACCCAATGTCGCCTCGGCGCCACCAACCCCACCAAGCCTGGCACGCCCCCGGCCTCACCTTCACCCCTTGTACTCACCTGCGACAACTTGTGCCTAGGCCGTGGATACGCACGATCTCCCGTGCGGTGGCCTTCACGTCGTCGCCATGTTAACACACCTCCGCATCCTATGCATCAACGTGAATGGAATCAACGAGACACGCAAAATGGATGAACTCAAGTCTTGGCTGGCGAGACTTCCTGCACCCGCTGACTTGGTCATCCTCATTGACACCCGGCTCATCCACAGAATCCCCAACCTCGACCTAAAACTTCGACCTCACTCCGCTCACGCCCCAGCACTTCTCTCTACCGAGAGCGCCACAGGGAGGCCCACGCTCATCGGCGGTGTCTCTATCCTCTCTTTCAACAGGGCTATCTCACTGTCCTCTCCAGCCCCCTCCCCAGACGGCAGACTAATCACTGTACACCTCAACTATCTGCGTGAGCAAATCCGCCTCATCGCCATTTACGCCCCCACACAATTCTACGGACGCAGAGTATGGTGGACCACCACACTCGTCCCGGCACTGGAAGCCCCCACCGCCGCCTCCGCATCCATGCTAGCAGGAGACTTCAACTCGGTCGTCCTCCCCATCGATAGGAATCGCCCTCCCAAAGACTTCGAGGCTCGTGAGGGCGCCTCATTCGCCAAACTCATGGAAAACCACGCCCTGATCGACACCTTCCGCGAACTCTTCCCCACGCCGACCAACGTCTTCTCCTTCTTCGGGAGGCAACGTCTCAATACTGCGACACCCCCCACCTCCTCCCGACTCGACAGAATATACATCTCTCGAGCTTTCATACCCCGCCTCACTGCAAGTCCGTACATCCAGACCCGCACGGCAATCACGGACCACCTCTACGCCCCTCTCTGCTCGCTCAGCTTCATCAACCCCACAGTTGCCCCCCGCCCCTGGCGCCTCCGACAGCATCTACTTATGCGCCCTCATGTCTCTCAAATCATCGACTCCTGCCTCGCAATCTTCCCAAGCAATCCTTCCCCAGACTCCTGGGACTCATGGAAGCTCGACCTCACCCTTAACCTCAAACGCTTCTCCAACCAAGAACGGCGCCGCGTCGATGGCACAGTCGCACATCTGGAAAATACCATCGGCTCACTTCAACGACATGCTGCGTATACGCCCCCGACCCAGGCCGAGTCTAACCGCCTTGACCAAGCAAGACTCCACCTGGCCAGGTATGAAGCCTCAAAAGCCTCCGAAATTGCGCTCAAGGCCAAGCTTAAAGTGGAAGGGCACAGGGAAATGGGAGTCTCCTCCCTTCTCTCTGGCCTCAACTCGCGAATCAAGGGCTCGATCATCAGCTCCCTGACCTTACCCAATGGACAAACAACGTCGGACCTCCCCACCATGACGAACATGTGCTCCAACTTCTTCCAGACACTTTACAGCGGGAACAACCCCGCCTCCGTAAACTCGGCCTTCTGGCAACACATCCCTCCCTCCTCCATCCCGACCCCCCTACTCCTACGCCTCGGCGCCCCCTTCTCCCTAGCTGAAATTGGAAAAGCACTACTCTCTCTGTCCCGAGGAAAAACCCCCGGCCCAGACGGTCTGCCCGGGGAACTCTTTCGGCAATTCGCCCCGCGATTTGCACCGGTCTTCCATTCCCTGCTCTCCCCTCCGCAACCTCTCTCTCGCTTACCCCCGTCTATGCTGACCG